CTCGACTACTTAAAAATCAAATTGGCCACTAAAAGGCTCTATCCGAACGCGTTTTAACAATAAACAGTCGTCGTGCGACTCTTTCCACCAACTTGAACTACAGCAAACGTGACTGCGAAAAATAAAACGAAAGTGTAAAGAATTTCTGCAAAACGGATGCTTGTTTCGCGATAAAAATCGTCGCTGAGCAACCCGTAACTTGGCGATTTCCTCAATAAAATGGAAACACGTGTCGACGATTTTATCGCGAAAAAATCACCACAGCATTTTTAACGCGCGATTCTCTGCCGTTTTATTTATTTACTTAATTTAATTTGCAACTTTGATCGACACTAATTGCATGCCGAACTTTCAATCGTTTTAAATATCTTTGCCGCGATTCTTCTTACATTTTTTTTTTTTTTTAGTTTTATTAAATATTTTTGTCATCTTTTCGACGTTCCTATATGCGATAACTGTTATTTCTCTACCAAAAACCGTCCGGCACGAACCATTAAGAGCTTTAATTTAATCCATTAGTTTAATTAATTAGCTGATTTAAAGATCGAGAATGATTAATTCCATCAATCCAGGCGTTACTGATTATAGTTTATATCCTCTACGTATTTTTTTGCTTTTTAAAATCGTTCCAGTAACATCGTTAACAACGTTATTTCTTCTTATTAGTTTATTTTTTTTGCTGCTTTAATTAATTATTATTCTGTAACCGTTATAATAGTATTTTAAAAGATAACGTGATTGGTTGTCGCGTCGATGCCAATGGCCAAAAACGTGCTATATTTTTCCAGGGTTTTTTTTTGCATTTTTTTTCTGTCCTTCGTTCGTGTTTTTTTTTTTATCTTCAACGAAAAAAACCCGCCTGCGAGACTATCCGTTAACGAGATTCCGATGTCCTGTGCTTTTAATTAACAAGCCTGCTTCTTAGTTCTTCGTTTCGGTTTCTAGTTTTCTGAGCTGTCTTTCGTGTCGATCGTAGCGAAAATAATTTACGAGCTAACATCTGGTTGCTTAAACGTGCTTTATGTATTGACTAGAGACAGAGGTTGGAGTTTTATGTTCAGAGTCTGAGGGAGCTAATAAGTTTTAGATTATTTACTATTTTTGTCGTGTAAGGTTCGGCGAGTTACGTCAGAACAACACAGTATTCGAAATTATGGAATTAGAGCGATGGCAAATTATTTTTGTATTAAAATGTAGCATAACCTTACTTTAATGGAGGAACGAACAACCTCATTTCAATGAAGAAATAAAATAATTTCATTTTAATGAAGAAATAATAATTTCATTTCAACGAGGACATAAAATAATTTTTATTTCAATGAAGAAATAAAATAATTTCATTTTTATGAAGAAATTAAATAATTTTTATTTCAACAAGGACATGAAATAATTTTATTTCAATGAAGAAATGACATAACCTCATTTCAACGAAGAAACAAAATAATTACATTTCAGTGTAGAAATGAAATAATTTCTATTTCAATGAAGAAATAACATAACCTCATTTCAGTAAAGAAATAAAATAATTTTTAAATCAACATTAAATAACTCCATGAAGATGTGAATTATTCAAACAATCATCTCATTTTGTTTCTTGTTCCATTAAAACATAATATTTGTGTAACTCTAATTCTTTGATGGCTGCACATTTTGTGAAATCCAAAATTTCAAATTGTATTTCATTTAATGTATGCCAGATATTAAGTTGCAAATTTTAATTAATATTTAACCTTGTAGATAAAATTATAAAAAAGAATAATAGTGTTAGAAGTTTAGTATAAAAATCACAAATATGTGGCAGACATTATTACAATAAGAAATACAAAATAACACTGTCAGTAATACTAAATTTTATCTCAAATATTAATAACAATTGACAATAATATTTAACCTTATAGATACAACTATAAAAAATAATACTAATTTGAAAAGTTCAGTGTTGAACCCACAAATATGTGGCAGGCATCAAAGCAAAGTATGAAGAATAAAAATAAAAATAAATTTGAGAAAACCTCATCTCATAAAATTTCAAAACCTAGCAATTACAATAAACCTTATCTCTAATATTAATAATACTCAATGAGGTCGTATTTGAGTTCAACTAGAGACCAAGGAGATATTTCACGCCATGTTGTTCTAACGCAATCTCAGTCAAAACGCAGTCAAAGTGAAGCAAAACGATCGAATAATTGAAATGAACGAATTACCTAACATTTCTGAGTAATTTGGAAACTTACGGCTCGCAAAGGAAATCCAGTTTCCACCTTAGTTCGTCAAAACGTAGATAGACGTGCGTTCGAATCTTCGTCTCGCAACCAGTCAAAATATTAAATTGAATATATCGTATTAAATACTGAGCACTCGTATATATTGACTAAAATGTTTGCCGCTAAACTCGTCGCAGACAAAGATTCGATTGTTCTAGAGAATCGACGAATATGTGTACTGTATTTTCATTTCAGTTACATACATAAACTTGGAGTTTCATCTTACATATCATATATGAATTTCTGGAATTGAATAGTGGGGTGTTTGATTGCAAATTTAGAAATTTTCAATCAATCTATTTTCAGATAATTTTAGAGTAAAAATAACAATGTTAGATGTATAGAGATTATAATTAATGACTTCAAAGATTTAATCTTTGAAGTAGGGTATTAGGTTATTCAAGACTTATGGTAGTTACAATCTTGAACATAACCTAACCCTCAAATAATTTTTGTAAATTTCTAAATCTTTGAATTAGGGTTAGGTTATTCAAGACTCCTCAAGTTAATTATAACCTCAAATATGATACAATCTTGAACATAACCTAACCCTCAAATAATTTTTGCAAATTTAAATATAGAACAAAATATTGACAAAATAGAAATATAAAATATTAACGAAATAGAAATTTAAATACAATCTGCTCATATTTCACTTAACAATAAAAAGCTTTTATTATTCATGAATTCCATTTGCAAAAGTAAGTTGATTGTTTCTTAACAAACTTAAATATTAAATACTTCTGTAATATTTATATAAGCAAATAGATAAACTGTAGAGTAAATAAAAAAATAAATATACATATTATAAGAATTATTAATAAAGTGAATAATTAGGTTCCTAATGAATAATCCACTTGTTTGGTCAAATTCAGTATCTATGTTTAACAAAATAAATTCTTTACTCTATCTTAAAAGTAATTTTTCATATTCTATAATACTCGTCGCCATTTTTCATGTAAAACGAATGGCGATATTGTGAATTTGTACTATGTCTACCTTGTTGGAAAAATAATGGGTTATTCATTGGTACACTAATTATATAAATTATTATACAAAATTAAAAATTAACATAAACATTTAAGAGTTTCATATTCTCTCAATTTTTTAAAAGAATTCATTCTAATTATTAGAACATTACGCAACCTAAATAGTGATACAAGATAATTTTAAGTAAATTAATTTTAAGTAACTTAATTAATTTTCCAATTATTTCATATTCTATTAAATTTCACAAATTGTAACTTTATAAATAAATGAATTAAGAATTTTATGTACATTTTAATAGTTACTCAAGAAGCTAACCTAAAACCTACAACTTTTTTCAATTTTATTTTTACTTTTACAAAAAGTTTCCCTGTTCAACTAATTGATTTTATTCATTTGAGTACCAGGATAATTAAGCACATTTCCATTTAGTAACTCAAGTTGTTTTTCAGAAACAAGATTTCTTAACCTAAAATTTCTGTTTACATCCAATTACTTTTGCAAAAGAAATCTTCTCATTCATTCAACCAATTCCAGTTATTTTAATTGCTATAACATTGTAATAATTAAGTACAGTATTTATCAATTACTGCAGATCAGGTTTCTTAAAAACAAAATTGCTTGACATAAAATTTCATAATACATCTTAAACATACTTTTGCAAAATTAAGTACCCATTAAATTATCCAGTTTAAAACATCCAGAATCATCATCAAAATATTTTTAAAAAACCTTATTAAATTATGTAGTTTCACGTTATCAGTAAAATATTCGATTCCCCCATAATTCAATATCCAGAAATTCCAAAAATTCGAAACAGTCACCGGATTTCCTTTTACAGCAACAAAATTAATCGGAACAGTTCGTCCGTTGACGGATAATCCGACGTGGGTACCTTTTCACAGTCAAACTGCAAATAGTTTGGCCATTCAGGTTGAATAGCGATGCGGTCGAAGAGCAAGAGATTGTTGCCAGGAGCAGACTTCGGCAATCTCTCGAGATTCGTGAATATCAAACCCCGAAGAACAAGAAGTTAAAGGATCGTCGAAATTCGCCTCGTTCGACGGCGACTCGATTTAAAAAAGTAAATATACACTAACGGGCTCGAGTGCGCCTGAGATCGCGTCGCGAATCTCGGATCCTGACCTCGAGGACCGGAAGTCTCCTCGAGAGTTCTCGAGGATGCCGAAGACCCTCGGAAGAATTGTGTGTCTGTGTGTCTACACGTGAGAGAGAGTGTGTACAGTGTGTGCTCGAGTACAAGCGTGTACAGAGGGACAACAACAAACGATGTCCGCCGATAGAAGGGAAAAGAAAATGCGTGGAAACGAAGAAAGCTAATTGTCATAGTTCGTTCACCTTTTTTTTTCAAATTTCCCGTGTCACTCTGCCCGCTCGCTTACGCCGGATGTGCTGTGTGTTCTCTTACGAGCTAACAAAGAAACGGTAGTGTTCGCTCATATCTTTTTTTTTCGTTATTTTCTCGTTTGATAAACGCCACGCCATCTTAAATCGTAGTATAAATCCCCCGTTATTTTATCTCATTATTATTTTTATTTCATTATTATTTTTTTTGTTACTTTTTCGTTTTATTTAACTCGTCGATTTACTTACTAAGTGATACGGATAAGAAAATTCACTGGCATTGTTTTTAATCGTCTTGGCAGTTCATTTGTGTGTAGGTATTTATTTTACTTAGTTTCTCTCTCTTTCCTCCATCTTTGTTCTCAGTTTTATTTACGGAATATTAATGTGTGCGCTTTGCTCTTAATCGTGTTCGTCTCGCTTTTTATTATTATTATTTATTAAGCACAATAAAAGGAGCAGTGTACCCTTCTTCAGCTTCTCTCTCTTTTGTTTGTATCTCTCCCTCCCTCTCTCTCTTCCTCTATTCGCCCGGCGGCACTCGCGACCATGACCGATTCGCGGCCGGGATTTTAACAAACTCAAACGCTTCGACGGTCCTCGATGCTCTGTTATGTTTTGTGTCTTGCAAATGTGTGTTCGCACGCATGCACGCAAATGTTCGCTCGCCGAACAAAACCTCTCGATATTTTCCTCCCATTTCATTGGGTAGCAAAACACTTTACTTTTCAAGTAAGAATGCAAAGGCAGGATTTCAACACGGCGATCAACCTCACAATTTGCGAACGAAAACGGTTAAAAATATCTACCGACCGCAGTGTGGAAATCCGGCAGAATTTTGTGGGAATAAAAATGAAAATCCGTAGGCAATCCTGCGCGTTCCAGAGCGATCAGGTCAACTGCCATACTGGATGCGTGTATGCGTGCGCGTGTGTGTGATGTGTGGCGCCTGTGTGCAGGCGCGTTTTCAACGTGTCTCGCTAAGGCGTCCTCTTCGAATGACCTACATGATGATATATCTTATATATCGTAAAGAATACGAGGCTGATCCCCGCATTTGCTTCCTATCGTGCAGTTGTCCCGGTAACAGGCGACTAAATGACTTCGAAGCGCAACCTCAAGCCGGACGTTCGATAATATGAAGGTGTCGAACGTGGTTAGCCGAATTAGCTGGTATCGTGTGCGCACGAGGTTGGTGTCTTCAGGTTCGTCGTCCGCACCGAAATGACACGCCGTTGCACGATCATCGTCGACGAGCCCCGACCTACCGCCGGCAGGCTGAGCTTTTCTGAATCACGTGACGATGATGTGCGGCGCCGACAATAGGACGGTGATGGTAGCGATGATGGTGAACAGAGTAAAAATGATTAGGCACATTCTGTCGATCACCATCGCCGCGAACTTCCAGTCGTTCGTCACCTTCGAGTTCAACTCTTCCGACTTTAGCTGATCCGTGATTATCTGCAAAAGAGAGATTCGTGTTATTTATTTTGTTGTGGGTGAGTGGGGTTTGTGAGGTTGGATGTTTGGGGAAGATAGAATTTTTGGATTTTAGGGTATTCGGGGGTTTTAGGGGATTTGGAGGTGTTTTAAATGGGATTTGAAGGTTTTGAGAATATGGGATTTTGGGATTGGCTAGATGGATTTGGGAGTTTAGGAATTTGGGGATTTGAGAATTTAGGAGTTTGGGGAGTTGAGGAATTAGGGAATTGGGAAATTGGCAATTTTAGGATTTTGGAATTTGGGGATTTGGGGATTTGGGATTTTGGGAAATTATTGGGAAATTTGGAATTTGGGAAATTTGGAATTTGGGAAATTTGGAATTTGGGAAATTTGGAATTTGGGAAATTTGGAATTTGGGAAATTTGGAATTTGGGAAATTTGGAATTTGGGAAATTTGGAATTTGGGAAATTTGGAATTTGGGAAATTTGAAATTTGGGGAATTTGGAATTTGGGAAATTTGGAATTTGGGGAATTTTGTATTTGCGGAGTTTGGAATCTAGGGAATCATCAATTTGGGGAATTTTGAGTTTGGGAAATTAGGAATCTGGGGAATTTGGAATTTGTGTAATTTGGAATTTGGAGAATTTTTAATTTGGGGAGTTTGGAATCTAGGGAATTCTCCATCTGGGGAATTTTGAATTTGAGAAGTTTGGAGTCTAGGGAATTTTGAATATGTGAAATTTGGAATTTGGAGATGTGAAGCACCTTTGGTATTTGAATATTTAAGATTTAAAAACTTAAACACTTGTGCACCTGGAAAAGGGATCTGAGACATTTGTTAATTTTTATATTTACTATTTGCAGGTTTAGTAACTAATTTGACTGATATTGTTTGCAAACTCTACTATGTGAAGCACCAAATAATTTAAATATCTAACACTTAAAACTTTCAGTATATAAAAATGTCTCCCACTAAAGTAGAAGACTTGAAAATCATCATAATTCTAAAATAACACACGTTAAGATTCAGAAAGTTAGAATCCACAAAGACTTCGAAACCGGAATCAGAAGCCTACGGCCGAACACGAATTTTCCGTTCAATACTCGGTTCACAATTATGAACACCGAAAGGTTTCGAGTGTTTGACTTCGTAGTATCAGTTCTCGAGAAATAGACGAGGTTTAATAATCCTGCACAAACAGTCGTACAGGAATGAATAGTTTCACGTTCGTCAGCAGACTTTGCTCGTACGTGTTCGACTACCTACGGTGATTTATACCAAAGTTTCATCCTCTATGTCTCTATGGGAATGTGTCAGTTAATACTTTGCCCGAACATTTCTCTATTTATGTTATCGAAATTGAATTACCCTGGCATTTATGTGAAACATGTCATCGTTAATTACTATACTTGCTTCGCTTTTCGGTGATATTTTCATAATTTTGTTAATTACACGTGTGGGATGTTATTTTATGTTTAATTTTATGAGTCTTTGTGGATGAGTGAAATTTATTATGAGATGGGATGAAATAGTGTTTTATTTTTGTAAATTGAATTTTATTATTTACAGGTTTGATGTTTGTAAGATTTATAATCAAGTTAAAATCAAATTAAAATCAAGTTAAAATCAAGTTAAAATCAAGTTAAAATCAAGTCCTAAAAGTCTTATAAAAACTATATAAGAAAATTTAAGTACAAATTGAATTTAAAGATGAACAAATTAAGATCAAATAAAATTTATAATAAAAACATAAAACATAAAGGAATTTTATATAAAGCAGACTCATAATTAAAATTTGAGATAAAATGTTATGTATAAATTCAATATAAGTGAAATCAAAAAAATTGTAAGCAACATTAACAAAATTAACAATTAAAATTTATAACCAGATTGTAAATTATAAATTAAATGAGTACAAGATGAGTAAAATTTATAATTTAAATTTAAAGTATAAAATTTATAATTTAAATTTAAAGTATAAATTGATTTTAAGCATGGATAACGTGCAAATAAGATTTATAATTAACTTGGAATATTGATTGAATTCAAATGTGAATTTAATGAATTTAATTTAAAGTTGTGATACAAATTTCATTTGAATGGAATTTATAATTGCACTTTGATTAAAAATTAATTAAATTAAAAAAAAGTGACAGCAAAAGATTGTCAAGTTATTAATTATTTAGTTCAATTATTGTATAAATTATTGTAGAGTAAAGTTGTAAAAGTTACTAATAATATGTGCAAAATTTAATTTGAAGAATTAAATGAAATAATTAAAATAATTGAATTGAAATAATTTAATTTAGACTCTGTTAATTTTAGAATAGATACCTTAAAAAGTTTGTCACATAGTTCATCAAATAATTAATCATATAATTCAATTATTATAGCAATTGTTATACAGTAAAATTGACCTAAAAATTTAAAATAACCTGTACCAAAATTTAACTCAAATAACTTAATAAAATAATTAAAATATTTTAAGTCAGACCCAGACTTCAAAACCCAGTCAACTTCATATCAGGAATCTCAGAAAGTATTACATAGTTCATCAAATAATTAATCTCATAATTCAATTATTGCAGAAATTATTATACAGTAAAATTGATCTACAAATTTAAAATAACTTGTACCAAAATTTAACTCAAATAACTTAATAAAATAATTAAAATAATTCAAGTCAGACCCAGTCTCCAAAAGCCAGTTAACTTCATATTAGGAACGTTAGAAAAAGTATCATATAGTTCATCAAATAATTAATCATAAAATTCAATTATTACAACAATTATTACATAGTAAAATTGATCTAAAAGTTACTAATAACTTCTACAAAATTTAATTCAAATAACTCAATAAAATAATTAAAATAATTTCATTCAGACCCAGACTTCAACTCCAACTCAGACCTCAAAAGCTTCCTCACAGAATTATCAAATAATATCACATAACCATCAAACCACCACCAAAATAATTCAATTTCCACCCAAATAAAGAAACACCCCAAAAATTCCAAATAACCAAAATGCAATCCGAACAACATCAGAACCCAGCAACTCCACTAAAGAAATTGCTCATCCCCTAATAATACCCCTTAAACAAACGAATTTCATCAGTAGCCTCTCGAAGAAGATGAAAGAATATAAGGGTAAAAAGATAGAAGCGAATCGAATAAAGAGTTTCCGTTAAAGCGAATCCAATGGCAGAGAAGCTTATGTTCGGAATGTTCTTTTCTGTTCGTATCGATCGAGGTAGTCGTTGAAAGCGAGGATATATTAGAAACATACCTTAATCTCCTTGAGGATCAGGATGAGCTCGTATCGGGCACAGAAACACGCGTTTTGAAGTATCGTTTCGACCTGGGGCCCGGGCGCCTCAGGTGGATGTTGATGATGATGAGGCGTGTGACCGATCTGATGTGACCCCGGATAAGAGGAGTGTGCCAATGGCGTCGCATGTTGATGATGAGGCGTCGTAGCGTGGCTGTGATGGTGATGGGGTGTCGTGTGTATGTGACTGTGCCCGTGGCCCATCGTGTGATGGTGTGGACCAGGAGTACTGTACACGTTGTTCAGAAGGTTGTTGTGGGATGCCAGAGCATTGTCCTCGAGATCCAGGACGTTCGCTAGGAGGGACTTGCTGCTCCGCTGAGGAAGCTCCAGGTCACCGTACGATTTGCTGGTACCTGGTCAAACGAGATACTATCGTTAGAATTTAACTAACATCACTCTGCTGTTATTAGTCAGTATACAGACTTTCGGTGTTTAATGAGGTATAATAGCTTTCTGGTATCATAATTCATTAAAAGCTACAATATTGCTATTTTCGTAATACTATTTGATATATATGTGGATTTTCGAGGTTCAATAAATATTTTACCGATGTGAGCAAATCATAATTCATGGAAAATTACACTGCTGTTATTTTTGTTTGGTAATACTATTTGATGTATATGTGGATTTTCAATAAGGCAAATTGTAAATTTGTCTATTTATAAAATCGTGAAATTGTAAAGTCATTAAATTGTGAAATTATCAAATTGCCAAAGTGTCAAATTGTCGAATAGAAAATTCAGAATTCTAAATATTTAGAAACAGAAAATTTTAGAAACTTGAAGATTTAGGAATTGCTTGAAATAGGAAGAGTACAGGTTTGCATTTTACACCTATTGAACATCAAAAACTTGAACAAATTATAACTCATTAAACAATGTTAATCAGACACACTAGGATGTTGGGAACAATGCTAGGATTTTTTTAATTTAAAAACAGGGGTCTATAAATAATTTAAAAAGTCCTTTAGGAACGTCTACCTAGTACTTTAGGAACCTTTAGAAATATAAATAAACAAAATACATATGAGAAAAGTTAAAAAAAACTATCAGGTAAAAAATAACAAATAAGTAATGAAATCAACCACGAATAAATATATAAAAAATGAATCGATATTACATAATAAACAATATAAGGAAGGGTACATTAAACAGTAGGATTAACAATCATCCAAATACAATTATTCAATTAAATGTAAAGAAATTCGAAATAAGACAAGTACATAAGTGCTGCGTTTGTATATGTTTGTGCAAGTATTGTCGGTGTATGACTGTGAATGGTGTTAGTGTGACACAGTAAGACACTGATATAGATAGTATTAATTGTTGTCAGTACTTATGTCGATGCTTTTTCGTGTCGCTAAATTACCGGTGACTGGAGAGGGCTTTTGAGACTTTTGCGCCTCTTTCTCTTCTTTATCAGACGGTCGTGACATACGTAGTATACAAGGCAGCCAATAAAGGAATACCACTTTCACCTGAAAAACAAATTCAAAATGTCACTCAATGTCACTGAATGTAACTCATTCAGAATACATTAGATATGTATACGTATACAGATGTCAACCCACGAGTCGGCGCGAAAACCATGACGCACTCGTGACGCACTCGCAGTTCAAATATTGTCAATTTTTCTCGTATTTTTGTTACGCGTAAATTTTCAATTTAGGAGTAATAATTTGCGTACGGATGTCAACCCACGAGTTGGCGCGTGAGGACCCAAAGTAAAAGAAGCTCTATCCCCACCGTGAACACTTTCAGCGTTACATACAGGCGCATAAGAATAATAATGACAATAACAACTGC